AATGCCTGGTAGAGAGAGATTGAGCTTTGGACCAGAGTTTGGCAGTTTGGATGCAAAATAAACGCGTACACAAAATTAAATATAAGGCAGGCGTAGGGGAAAACAGTCTCTGATCTGTGACCAGGATCCTGGTTGTTTAAACTCTTGCATACAGGCGACAGGAGCGTAACATAAAGCCGCGGATTCAGGTGCTAGGTTCAGTTTTTAAAGGCTGGATTCTCAGGCCAGATTGTCGTGCATGTTTGATCCTGATTTGCAATAAAGAAAAAAAAATCGTCGTGACGGTGCTTACAAATGGAGTAACATGCCTTGGGGATGAGCGCAGTATAAGAACCTGCCCAGGACAGAACTTGCATGCATAAGATGCATTAGCTTGCCCTCTTGTTTAGTAACCCAGCGTGCACGTCCAACTAGGAGTTACATCTGCAGGCTGAGCGCGCAGCTGTGCGCTAGTTGGGCCTCAAGAGTGTGAATGAATGCAAGAATCAGCCTGTGTCTTCTGTAGGGTGGAAAGCTAAGAAAATTCCCTTGTGTATCCTCTTCCCTTCTGGATTTTCTTAGCTCTAAATGTCCGACTTCTAGGCAGGGAATGTATTTTTCCTTTCCCACGTGCGTATTGCTGCATACTACTAGGAATTGCTATGTATCGTCTCCTCTATGTGCATCTCACATGCAGTTTTACATCTGTCCGTCTGTAATTATAAGGCCACGGTTACTGTAGTTTTGAGCCACCCCACAGTCTCAGGTGCTCAGCAACCACGTGCGGTAGGGATGAGCTGTTATATTCTTTTCTCCTCTGTCATTCGAGACCAACAAAAGCTTAAAGGTGCAGTTGTGTTAGGACATGAGCCTGGCACCTGGAAGGCCTGCTTTCCATTTCCAGCTCTGCATGAAACTTTTTATGTGGCCTTAAGCAAATCACCTCGACCCTGATCCTTACAGGTGTTTAGGCCCATGAAGACCTTTGATAGTGAACCTGTGAGGGCCTGACTGCTACACTGGCTTTTTGCCCTCCGCTCAGATCTCTTCCTTTTGGCGCCTCGCTGGATTTAATAACAGATAACAATCCCAGCTGTGCTTTGCTTTCCAGGCGACACTCCCATCAGCAGTAAAGTTTGGGATAAGGCCTCCCATGCTCTAGCAACACTAGGAGCCCTTAGGAGCAGAGCAGATCCCCTGTGTAACCAGGTGTAGAAACATCACTGCCATTTGATTGTGAGAGGGGCAAGGCAGGGCCTGCACTGCTTGGAGCAATAGGGAGTTCCAGCTTGGAAACTGCCTTCGTGTTGTTTCCTCTTAGAAGATGACGTGTCCAGGTGCTCGGACAGCTCAGATGTGCTAGAACAGGTAACCGGAGCAAGTATTGCCGAGCTGTAGCTTGACCCGAGTTTCCTCGTCAGGTGGGATCGGGGATTGTGGAGCATCGAGAGCAGTAATAGCCAGAACGGTAATAGATATTGCAACCAGCCAACTGTGAGCGGGGGGCAGGCAGGAAATCAGCAGTTCCTCGGCTGTGCCTCCTCCAGCGTAATCCCAGAGCAGCACGTGGGAAGTGTGAACGAAGGACTCTCCCAACACCAAACCCTCTGCTGTGCACCCAGGGGGAGGAGGAGAGGACACACGTGGGACAGGCTCATCACTTCTCTTAGTGCACTGATGCTGCACTAGTACAAGGCTGGGTGTAGCCTGGGCTCTCGTTCAGGAGCACTTGGGTGAGTGGGACACAGGCCCATACTTAAGGGCTTGACTGCGCTGGTGTCCCTATATGTGGTGGTAGTGGTGTCACTGTCTAGTTTATTGGTGCAGGTGTCCTCAGTGCAGACAGGGGTGTTGCTTGTAGCCGTATTGCTCTAAGGACTTAGGCAGACAAGGTTATTTGGGTAAATGTGATATTTTTTATTAGACCAACTGAATATTTGGAAAAATTGTTCTTTGCAAGCTTTCGGGCACAGGTGCCCTTCCTCAAGCATGGGAAGACTCTATTGTGGGAGACTCCCTATGCCTGTGCCCCAAAAACTTGCAAAGCACAATTTTCCAGCTATTCAGTTGGTGAAATAAAATAGATCCCATTTACCCAAATAACCGTGTCTGCTGCCAGTGAAGATGGGGATTTAAAAAAACCATGATACCAGGCAAGTCCTTTTGGGTCTCAGTGGGAACTGCAGATGTTTGCAGCTGCTGCAAGTGGGACTAGAGGCAAGTTTGGGCCTGATGCAACTCCTAGAGAAGTCAATGGGAGTTTCTCCATTGACTGCAACAGGCTGTACATACTACTCACGTGCAGTGACCAGGATGTTTGGGACCAGGGAACAGAGATTAAAATGAAACAGAAATGGCCTGGCCTATTCCATTCTTCCTACTTCACTCAGCTTCAATGATGAATCCAATTGCACATATGCTTTGGAAAGGAAATAGGACTTTTAACAAGTGTTTAATATTAACAAGGTTAACTTTAAAAATGTGAAATTACTTCTGATCACTGCCTCTCTTTCCCCTCCCGCTGCTCCTCTTCCCCATGAGCTTTGTAAACTCTTCAGTGCAGAGACCATCTCATTATGACTTTATGCAGCCTCTAGCACAGTGGGAACCCGATCTCGAAAGGGGGCCCTGAGAGCTGCACTAATTACCTATAATTAACAATGCTAGCCTGGCAGCATCCAATTTTAATATCGAGAAGAGCAGGCTTAATGCAAATTTGCCTGTTTTGTTTAAGCAATTGATGTTTTGTTACTATTATTATTATTGGAATAAGTGAAATGAATGGAGTGTTCGTAGTCTGCAGAGTAATAGCGTGTGTGTGTTTTTAATTACATGGCTAATATTTGTTTCCTCTTTTACCTGAGAGACTTCAGAGCTGTTGAATCTTCTGTAACCTTGGAGGTTAGTGACAGCTCTGGAATAAGGGAGAAAGGCTTTATATTCACCGCGTGGAGTAATTAGCAGGTTATTCACAGTCAGACGAAGTGGCAGTGCAAGGTCTTGTCTACCGAATGTGCCAGTCCAGGCACCGGATCTGCTGGCTGTGTCCAGAGTCCTCCATGTAGCTGACCATTAAGTGACTGTGTTTGCATAGGTGGAATCCGAGGTTACGGATTCCCTTAAAGGTCATGAATGTTTGTGCGGGAGATCTTTGCTGCTTCAGCAGTTCCACATTATCATATCTTTCCACTTAATTTTCCCGCGTAGCTGTGCATCAGATTCTTCTGCCTTCTTATCTTGCTGCTGAAACGTATGCTTGGGCAGAGCTTGCTTTGCGCAATCAGATTCTGTTCCTCTGAACCTGCTGAGCAAGGGGCACACGAGCCTGATCTTTATGCTGGCGTGGAGCAGCTCTTCTCACATCACTGTGTGTATCTAGGTGGGGATGTCTGGCCAGAGTAAAACTGTTGCTTCCGATGCAGCAGATGGTCGTGCGCGTGTAGTGAGTTCCACACTCCTTTCCCCTCTTTCTCTTATGTTCGATGTCACGAGCATCCTGCCAGAGTTGGGCAAACAGTTCTCAATATGCAGCTGATTTGTTAGTCCTTTTTTCTTTGCTTTGCTGTTCACGAATGGTCCGTGCCTGGACTGCTGTCTTTATACATGTGTTGGCTGTTCGAAACTGAACCAGATTGCTGCTCCAGAAGACTCGGCAGCCCGGTTTAGATGGCACTTTCAGTTGCAGCAGCAAATTGCATGCATGGAGGACTTTCTGGAGAGACTTCACAGCACTTGCGCTGTGACTTAATAATCCAGCATGTGTCCCAGGCCTTGGCCTGTATTGTCACTGGACAGTCGCAAGAAAGAGAGACTGCACAGTGAGGAGG